CCTATAAAAATTACCGTAAGTCAATCGCCCAAGCGGCTGCTGAGATATGAGCCTCTCAAAATCACTACTTTTGCAAAACAGCTTGAACACCCTTGACTTTTCACGTGGCACGTGCCACGACGGTCACTGAGATGTATCAAAAGTAGTCAATTACGGGGTAGAAGGGATGGGGCTACCCAACAAAAAAGACCGCAGGCCAATCGGTCCAGCGGTTGCTGAGATATAAGCCTCTCAAAAGCGTTACAGGCCGGGCCGGGCCGGGCCGGGCCGCTCATACTGAGATTTTTCCGTTATATTGAAAAGACTCACTTCGCTCGCTGCGCTCGCTCGCTCGTAATGACAATGCTCGAGGAACGCGTTCATATTGAGAATTGAGATACGACTGTTAAGAGAGACCAAAAATAAAAAATCGAACTGCAACGGATAAAATAAGGCACAGCCAAGAACAGTTGCTGGCTGCTCTCATCAACCATGGCATAAAATGACGCATCTTTCCCGCCAAAAGGGAAGCGAGCACACCTAAAAGCAAGATAAAAACGAGTTATTGCAAGCGGCTGCTATGCTGCCCTCGGGTCTGACCTTGAGAATGGCGCGCGCTATGGCGATCCTCTGTTTCTGTCCGCCGGACAGCATCACTCCCCGCTCTCCCACCACTGTGTCCATCCCGTGGCTCAGCCTGAAACCAGCGTCACAGCGCTTAGATCAGCGCCGCAGGCTGGATCATAGTCATTTATATGCATCAACGTTGAACCCGGACGTCACAAAAAAACGTACAAAATACATGAGTAAGAACCCAACATGAAAGGACACAACAAAGTCAAGTATCAAAGAAAAAATACATGATGAGAAATGAGCGAAAATAGTTTACGTTCCCTCTCCTATGAATGAAAAAGTGGAGCATTTATGAATAAGCTGAATGCGGCACAGAATGAAAGTGTAAACTAGCGAAGGAACGAACAAACGAGCGCCTAAACGAACAAAATGAACGCCCAGTCGAAAAAAAAAATGAGAGAATTTCGCAATGAGCGAATATATCGTCAATACCGTCAGCTCGAAGTGTCTTGCCATTCCCCACAAAGCACACTCTCGGACCCCATCTCCCCCATCCCGTGACCCGTGTCATAGTCCTGTGCACCTCTCTCGTTCTCCCCCCCCCCCTCCTCCCCGCGGCGCCCCGCCCCACCTGTCGATGAACTCGGCGGCGTTGGCCTGCTGGACGGCAGAGCGGAGCTGCTGCTCGCTGACAGCGGCCGGGTCCCGCGCGCCGTACAGGATGTTCTCACGGATAGTGGTCGAAAACAGCACCGGCTCCTGTGTGCGGGGAAGGGTGGGTGAGTGGAGAAGTCAGCGGCTGTACGACTGTCCAAACTAAGCGGCTCACACAGATGTGTTCGAACTTACGTTTTTATTGCATAGCTTAGAAAAAAAACTTATATAACAAGGCCATAACAAAATTATTCAAAATCCTAAAGTACGGCTAGCATCACTATGTCAACAGGCACCGCTGTCATCCTTACATTTATCAGCCGACCTGACAAAGAAGATATTTACCGCACAATTATTCCTCACAGTCGCATCGCTACAAACCTGGCTGACGACACCGATCTGCTCCCGGAGCCACATGGGGTCCAGTTTCCGGACGTCTGTGCCGTCCAGTGTCACCGTGCCCGCCTGTGGGTCGTACAGCCGCAGCAGCAGCCAGGCGATGGTGGATTTACCCGAGCCACTGGCGCCCACCACCGCCATCACAGAGCCTGAGAGAGTAAAACGAAGGGTGGGTGCAGATGTTAATGAACAGTGCGAGTGGAGTGGTAACAGGGAAGCATAACGGCTAAAGCAAGCGTCGAGGCAAACAATATAGACAAAAAAAGCACAAATTCATCAGCGTCGAGGCTAGCAATAAAGACAAAAAAGCGCAAATTCATCAGAAAAAAAATTACCAACATAATTGACTTCGCACTACTGAGTCAACCGGCCCGATTTTTGCCACTACCACCCTGCACGCCATGTCCCGCACCATCCTCCGCTCCCCTCCCGCTGACCGTGCGGCACGGTGAGACTGAGGTCCTGGAGCACCGCGTCCTCCGGCCGGCTGGGGTAGGAGAACGTCACTCCACTGAGCGTCAGGTCTCCGCGCACGCTCTCCGGCCGCAGTCCGCCCGTGAAGGGCAGCTCCGGCTGACGGTCCACCAGCTGCCACAGGCGCGTACTGGCGCCCAGGCCGCGCTGCAGCTCGGTGTAGAAGGAGCTCAGACCGCCTGAGGGCAGTGTATATAGAGGGGGCTGTCATATTACCGCAACGGTGCACATCGCAAAGTAGCAAGTTGCAATAATTCAGACAGCGATTAAAAAAGAAGACCGCAAAATTATGAAATATTTCAGCTACAGCTCAACAAGCGAAAATAGTATCTTGGATTAAATACTTAAAACAGTAAATGATGTATTTCTACTTCACACTACGAAGAGAATAGACAACTCTCCCGTACCTCCATTCCCACTGTTCCCCTTCCCCCACGTACCGACGGCCACTCCGGCGTAGGCGGCGTACAGGAGGAAGGCGGACAGGTCTCCGACCGTGACCTCCCCGGCTCCGACCAGCGTGCTGGCGTAATACAGCACCGCCAGGATCACACTGTTGCCGCTGAGACCCGTCTGCCGATACACAGGGAACGAGTCGGTGTAAGGGTCATTTACAGGGACCGAACAGGACGTAATGGAGAGGGAATATGGGGAAGAGGGACAATGCAGTTTAGCAGGGTAGTGAAATGGAACGCGTATTTGTTAGAAACTTCATAAAAAGGCATAATGAAATAGGAAAATTGGAATGTCGGTCAGCTGTAATTGCAGCCTACTGTAAACGTACATAATGCACAAGTTCAATGAAAATGGATTTAAAGTCACATAATGAGTAGACGAGATTTATGAGTACATACGAGAACGTGAAGAACGGTTCAGCACACTGTTCTCGAGCTGTGGAAGTTGGAATAGTCCACGCCGCGCCGATCGGGTTACCATTCCGAAGAAGCCGGCTCGTGCAATGGCCTCGCGTCGGCTCAGCTCCAGCACGTGCAGTGTGCTGTTGGTGTAGTTCTCCGTCTCCTGCTGTTCACGGGCCAGGACCCGCACGGTGCGCATGTTGGCCAGCTTCTCCTCAGCGACCGCGTTCGCCTCAGCCAGACCGTCCTGTAGGGGAGGTTGTGGGTCACAGGGCGGGCGTCATAAGAGGGGCATCAGACGGCTACTGCCGTCGTGTTGGGGTAGGGGAATCCTACGGGGAATGGAAAAGGAATAAGGAATAAGAAAGCAGCAGAGCATGAAGCAGTGTTTGTTGAATGATCATGAATGTAGAAAAAACGACAAGCATTAAGGACACAACGATAAGGTGTATATGTATGAACGCAGCACAGCATGCATCAATTCATTCACATTAATCCATTTCAATCACACAAATCATTTCAAACCACCTAACTCAGGATAAATGAAAAAAAAAATCGTTCACTGTTTTTTGCCACAGTATTCCTCTGTGACCTACCTGCACTTGTCTGGTGATTTTTCGGACGTATCTGCCGTACACGACGGCCACCATTGCTACAGGAGGCACGATGGCCAAACCCACCATCGCCAGCTTCGTCGACACGTAAAACTGCCGCACAGATACATAACAGTTAGAGAGGTCACAGCGTTACGTACCGTAAGGCATATGTTATCTCTCAGCTAATATGAAAAATGTCAGAATATACAGCAAAAATTCTTATCACTCCTGCGCCAGTGATTCACACCTACACCCTATCAGCTCTGTTCTCTATACCATCATGTCTCCCTTACTTTTCACATCTCCCTTCCCTTGCTATCCTTCTATCCTCCTGCCATCTTCCCTCCATCTCCCCACAGTAATCTCTCAGATACCACCCCGATACTCCCACCCACCATCATGGAGACGCTGGCGGCAGCCATGGCGGTGGCTCTCAGTCCGTCCGAGATGTTACTGGTCACAGTCTGACTGACCAGCGCCGTGTCGGCCGACAGCCGGTTCACCAGCTCGCCGGTCCGACTGCGGTCGAAGAAGGCCACCTCCTGTCGCATCAGCGTGCCGAACACGGAGCCGCGCAGCGCCTGAGCGATCCGCGCGCCTATAAAGAGAGGAGTCTTTATGGTGTGACAGTGGACCTCAATAAACATTACTGCAAGGGGTGTCGGAGTGATAGGTCTGGGCATGATCATAGGTGCTATATCATGATCACGGCGTTTACATTGCAAGGCAGGAAAGCGAAGCTGTCGTTAAATAATTCCGGTACAGGTTGAGCATCTTCTACGAAAAAGTTGAGCAAGAAAAAAGACGCTAAAAATGTTCCACGTGCGACGATATGCTGTGATGAATGACGATCCACAATGGTTTTAACGATATAAGGGACCCTCTTCCGCGGGTAATTCATCAGTACGTAAGCGTCTTCTACCATAAGCTTATCAAAAACTTACACCAGCTGCAACCAACACTGTCAGAGCGAGCACCTTCTCTTTGCACTCCCGCCTACCCTCAGCTCCGGGCGCCACTGACCTGCCACAGTCATCAGATAGACCCGTCCGCAGTTGGCTGCCGCGCCAATCACAAATACCACTGCCAGGCCCAGGCAGATGGTGACAAGACGGTCGCGTGCCTGGCCTGCCTCCTCCCGGTAAATGATGTCCACCACTCGCCCAATGGCGAACGGAACTGCCATCGTCACGGCGCTGGACACCAGCAGCAGACACACAGCTCCTGGCGGGCACAGAGAGGGGACATGTGACAGACACACTGCCAGATCAGGGGAGGGGAGGCAGGGAGGGGTAGAGACTGAGAGGTGAACGACAGTCATACTGCTGGAGTGTGGGGAGGGGAAGAAGGAGAGGCATAGGGGAGGGGCAGAGGGGAGGGGTAGAGGGGAGGGACAGAGAGGCTGTAACAGTTATATTACTAGTGAAAGGTGCATGATGGGTAGCATGCTGTGTGATATTGGCATCAACAGTTGATAACTGCTGTTGGAATCAGCATATGAAAAATGGAGAGGACTTGTGGGACTGTAGCAGGAAAGTGGTTAAATTTTTTAATAATACAATTGATACTGTCAATGTGAATATTCTGATGAAAATAAACGCCAAGCTGTGCTTCTAGACCAGTTGCTTGGGCTTGGGTGCATGCACATCCAGTGTCCCAAAATTTGTCAATTTGGGTGGAACAAGACATCCGAATGAAAATAATTTTCCACTCCCACCTCCAACTTTCAATAGCAATTTACCACTCATGAAAGAGCATCTAATTGCATGATCGCATCAGATTCTACCATTGTACAGAAAAGTGTGCAATTTTTCCTTCTTCTGTTCTTTATTTTTTTTTGGGGGGGGGGCGGGGCTAACTTTATCAAGAATATACCACCCTCATCCCTTTTTTTTTGGAGAGGAATTTTCCCCTCTAACACCCAAGCATTAATATAATTTTGTGACACTGTGCACATCAAGCACTAATTATTGGTAGATTTGATCAAAGCCTGGTTTTTGAAAACTTTCCCAGCTGAAAAACTCCAGATTTTACTTCTTTCTACTTCATAGCTGTGCAGTTTAAAGTTAAGTATCTACCTATTCTTAAAGCTGCCCAGAAAGCACTTCCATTAAATGTAAGACAAACAACAAAAAATATCAGTTTTAGATGCTCCAGGAAGGGTAAATGCAATACATGCTCCTTTTGAGTCTGCTAGTGTATTTCAGCCACTAGTCTTGTTGAGTCTGAGACTCTGCTAGTGTGTTCAAGGAAAATATGACGCCTACCTCCAAGCTTCCAGCGCTCTGGCTTAGCAAGAGCCAGCAAACGCCGCAGTTCTCGAGGTGCCACCTTAGTCTTTACAGCCTTGTCTGCTGCCTGTAGTAGTGGCCTTGCAGTGAAGAGGCTGCGCCACATTGGCCGCTGTGATGTTAACACTGAAGCCATTTGGAGGCGTGGACCAGGTGCACTGCCACCTGCCAGACGTGGCAGGGGGAAGACAGCCACCCTCAGCAGACGGACCAGCGTCATGGTGGATCAGAATATCAGCCGAATCTGCAAGGAAAACGTTATTTCGATCAAGAAATGCACCAAATACGCAACACATTACACAACTTGGTAAGAATACAATTTGACCTGCTTTACCGGGCCTTGTATTATCATTGACAATACGCATTTCAGTAATGAGTTCAGTTACTCTCATCTACAAGCAGGAATCTCCTACAAAGCATCATTATTTATCAATTACCACTTTCTCAATAAAGTGCCTGGCGGAAACAAAAATGCACAGTACCTATTTCACTCAATATACCCTGGTACCTATATCCAAGTAGTATATCAAAAATGGAAAGTTTCCCAGAGTTCGATATTTTGTCTCTGACGCGCTATAAGATGTCTACAAAGCTGAGCTAGTTATGTGCAAAAAAAACATAGATAAATTTAGCAATCATTTATGACGTCATTTATGCGTTCGTTGATTGTTGTCTGTTGAACCATAGTTTTTCATAGAAATGTCAGAAATCTTCCTTACCTTTATTTTTATGCTCCTTACGAATATAAAAATGGTAATAAGTGAAAAAACAGGTTACAAGGCGAATCGCGTAAAGGAAACTGTGGAAATCTTTGAACAAAACAAGGATAAATATTGAAAATATTTTGAAATAAAGGCCTGAGATACATGTTTAAATGATGAATATTTGAAAAAAAATATATTTTGTAGTAATTGAAACGAGGCTTCCCCAAGAGTTGGTAAGTTTGCAATGTTTGCACTGCAGTTATTTTGCAGGGTTGTAAGGTTTTGGGTGTTTTCTCTTAGTAAAAAGTTCCTTCAATGATAAATTACATTTATTTATTCCAAAAACGTATCAAAACACTAAAATAACATCTAATAACGTCTAAACTTTTTAAATTACAATGACATTTTTATTTATATATACTTGCAGTAGAATATGATGTTTTATCGATCGTCTGCTAAAGAGACGTTCCTGGCTTGACGGTGACAAAATATGATTTCTCGTATGCGCGTATGTGTTGGGTTGCGTAAATGATACTTTGATTTTTTTAATCTCAGACGTGATGCCCCGTAACCTATAGCCAGTAAATGAAATTGTGTGATTAAATTTGTCTGTATTTCTAGCATTTATTTCATATTGATGCGAGGAAGACGCTGCTGTAAGATCTCAAGAACAGGAAGCACTGACATTTCGCTTATTGGTCCGGATAACAATCAAAATGTATAACTGGAGGCCTTGATCAAGATGAGAATCTGAATTAGAGCAGTTACTCATCACTGAAAGAAGCAACGATGGGTACCAGAGCAGCTGCTTGTAAGTTTGGGTTTTAAATTTTAATCTGCTTTAAATTTGGTATGATGTAGCTTGTCATTTATCTTCTGATAGGTAATTGTGTAAGCTTCTCCACAAATATATCCATGAATATAAGGTGCTGCGTAAACCTTGTAAATTTATGGAAGAATATAGTCAAAAAGAATTTTTGCTGCACATGCCTGAATGTCATTTTCTGCATTTCTGAGATCAATTCTTTTGAGGCTTAAAATACCTACAAAAGTGCTACCTACCTATCTACTTCAGTCAATCTTAAGTGAGCAGAATTTGTGAAATGATTCAAAGAATCTTTTGGCCAATCTTTTTTAAGTCATGTTTGCCAGATTCCTGCTAAGGTCATTCTCAAGTTATCACAGCATCTTTTGCTTCAGGCCGATATTGATATAGCTTTGGCTTTTAGGGTTGATCGAGCTGTGGTTTGAATGTGTAAGGTAACTCAAATAATTTTTATGCAGTACTGAAATTAAAATGAACAATCAATTGCTTAAATAATCTGTATAATCTTACATGTTGGAGTTACTAGAAAAACTGTTGATTAAAGCTGGTTCCTTTGTATTTTTTAATATGTGAGTTGATTATGATGTATAAGTTGAAAATGTGGAGTGTTATACTTCATGACATTTGAGCCATTTTTAAAATGTGTATTTACATTATTATTATCACGTTATTTGAAAATGAATGTAGTCAATAATTTTTTTCTTTCAATTGAAGTGATCATTGTTCCTTGTGCTTTATCAATACAACTCCATATTATTTTATCTCTCGTTATACTTTCAACTTTTTGTAGGCTCAGCTGGCAAGTTGACAAGCTAGTGCATCTGGTAATAGAATCACAGTATTAATTTCTTCTTTTGGTAATGTTAGCTTTCATTTTGCTATGTCAAAGTACCTACTCATGGTTCCTACCTCTGACTAAGGTTGTGGAGACTGGTGTGAGGTGGGAATAGAAGATGATTTTGTGTCAAATAAATAGGAGTAAATGGTTTGTTTATATGGCTATAAGGGAAGATCCATCTACTAAGTTAAAGATCCATACTGGGGCTTTTTGGCAAAATTATTTAAGGACCTCATGATAATGGCCCATCCCATCCTAATCCCTGTTTATATGTCAAGCTAGCATTGAAGTCATATCCAATTTCTGCTTCTCAGACCCAAATTACTCATAATGGGACACTTCTTTGCACATTGGTTCAGACAAGGCATAACAAGTTTATTAGTTCAGCTAGTGATTTTTACAACTGACGCTACTTTTATGTTACTCAGTATTGGGCAGACAATTCCATATTGCTTATTTGCTTACCCCATATTCTTCTTCATTTGGTATATGAAGACCATGATTGATGATTTGAATATCTTCGACGTTTTTCCGTTCCGGTTCCCGCCGAGTCAATCAGTTCGCGCCGGCCGCGCTCCTCGAATCCGCCAGCGCTGCTAGGCTCCCGGGAGCTCCGCCGCGGTGGGCTGGGCCACGCCTCCCAGCGCAAGGGCGCGCCCAGGGTACGGAATTATGGCGACCACACATAGCTTGGTGCAGTTACACTTGATCCATTTCAATGATCATAAATCGCAGCCACGAAGAAGTCACAAAACATGATTTGCCCCATGAAAAGGTTGCATTACTACGTGCAACGGAGCTGCTGATAATCCGTCACCTTCCACTGTTTGGAGCCTGGGATCGCCCCTGTGACCTGTGACGTCATCCACTATTGGCCGCCCCTCGCCCGAGGCTGGGATTAACCACCGGCGCCGCATGACTCGCTGCATGGCTGGAAGGGCCGCTTTCTTGCCGGCGCTGTTCAGCGAGTCAGATCAAGATTAGATAAATCGACGCAACTATGAATCCTGACTGATGCGTCGCTAAGAAACGCTGTGCGGCTTAGCCCACGACTAAGACAAAGCATATGGGTGGATGTAGCAGAAAGACAGTGGCGTCAAGTTCAACACTGACGTGAAACGGGAGCCACTGTCTCGGCACGGAGAGGGTCAAACCTTTATCTCCACGGCCGGGGAGAAGATGCTCGAATGAGAGGTTCCGACCTAACATGCATCACTAATAACTATACATTGGGTGGCATTGCAGAATTTAACTTATTTAGGGGGTCAGGACCCCCGTGCCCCCCCCCCCCCCCCGTGGCGAAGCCCTCCGGCTCGTGCTACCGTTTTTCGCGATGGCTCCGAATAGACAGCTAGCTGAAATTGGGCATACCTAACTAATACAGATTCAGCTGTTTTTGAGCCAGCCACATTTTCAGGCTAGATCAGGTCACTGACTGACCTTAAACGTGAACCTCGGGTTCGTCCAAAATCGCAATGCTCTCAGTGTGGGGAGCTTTAAGTCTGGTAAACATTTTCAGGAAGTGACAAACATTCATTGCCTCTCAGAAGTCAGACGTTTCAAAAGTGTCATTTAAGATTTTAAAGTCATCGTTAACATGTAATTTTGAGGTTAGATATTGTTGTCTTATTCGCTTTTTTTTCTTCTGCAGTCACGGCAAAGATAAAGAACCTGCAGGACTACTACCTTCGCCTGCTGCACGGCATACCGCTGCCGTCCGAGCTCGACATAGCATGCACGCTCAAGTACTTCTCCCTCACCCTCATGGGTAAGTTAAGTGTCATGTGTGTTGAAGCCGGTGTCGTGAGGTGTGCTGTGCTGGTGATGCGGGACATTCAGGAAGCGGATATAAAGTAGAATGAAGGCCGGGCACTAAATCCCGTTCTACGGGGCCCGGTTCTAAATGTTCGGTGCTCGTGGACCACCTACTCGGATTGGTTCGGGAGTTCAATACCGCCGATGAACTCCCATTTGTAGTTACTCAAGTTTTCCTCGGTGATTGACAGTCGACGAATTGTTTGCCCTGAACATAACAATACATGTGTAGGTACGAGACGTAATCATATTGCCGTATGTGACTAATCTGAGCTCATATACAGGGTGTCCCAAAAGTAAGGTCATCATTTGTTTTGGCCACACTGCCAAAAATACGCGATGGATAGATATAAATAGGACATCATATGAAAGAGCATTTTATAAAATTTTATTCTGACATACATATGAGTCAAAACATGGGCTCGTAGCCCCACATTTGCTGCTTTTCTACATGGCTACCATTTCGGGCCGCGTGCATGAATAGACTACGTTTGACTTCCTCCACTATTCTGGAGCGATTCTCTGGTGAGATGCCGCCTATGTTTGCTCGAAGGGATCATCCTTTAGTTCTTCCCGGCTCGTTGGGTTGTCCTAAAAGACAATCTTTCTGTTGTGTATCCAGAGAATAAAAATATGAAGGTGTAACGTCAGGTGACCGCGGAGGCCATTCAATGGCGTTGCCCTGACTGAAAATTACGGGATCTCACATCCACTCTCGGAGACAATGCATGATCTTCAGGACGGTGCAAGCATAGTCTCCATCCTGCTGAAACCACTGCTGGCTGATGGTGTCGGCACAGCTGCGTTGCGACGAGCGGAAGAACCACTGGGAAGACTCTCGGCCACCTCTCTTGATTTATTGTCACCCGATTCCCGCTGTCGTCCTCAGGACCTCGAAACACAGGTGGCTAAGTATACATGCCCTGTGCGTACATTATACCTTTTTTTCTGACGTTTTACCGGTTGAGGCGAAACTATGCATGAGTTCAGAGATAGGGCGAGCTGATAGGGTCTGCTTAGGGCCGAAAACTGGGCGGTATTTACCCTTTGTTTTAATGACGGACCCTCTCTAAGAGTTGAATTTCGACCTTCTCAGTTTTATGCCTACTGCTCGGTGTAGTTATGATCAAAAATGGTTTAAGCATGCAAGAAAATAATTTTATGGATGTACCTTGCACGTGTTAAAATTGGAAGTGATTCGGACTCTTACTTCTCGAGATATTTAAGTTTTAAATCATGACCTTACTTTAGGGACACCCGGTATGGGACCCTACCCTGTCCCTCCCCTGACGGTTCTTCCCTCGCCCGTGACCCAGGTGTGCTGAAGGACGTTCCGGAGGCTCCGCTGGAGATGCTCCGGCGTCCGGACCAGGACAGCACTCGGCTGGCGCTGTACCCCAGCCTGGACTACACGGGCCTGTACCGCGCCCTCGTCCAGCTTTTCGACATAGTGCCGCTGCTCCAGTACGGCGTGCATGGTGAGTGGGGGCGTGGAATCAACTCATGACGCTCCCCACCCCGTTCTGCTGGACAATATTCGATTCATAACTCCGGAGTGGTTCTCATTATTACCGAGTGTGTGGTATTGTGTTTTGATATCACATTTACCGTTTATTACCGAGTGTGTCTTAACCCTCGCCCATGTAGGGGGGGGGGGGGGGGTTGGTGCACCCCCCCCCCCTGAGGCTTTTCGGAAATAGTGCAAAAACGTGCGAAATTTTGGGTACCTTATGGGGCAAACCTTGCGCATCTTTTGATAAAAAAAATTTGACCGGGTCATGTCAGGTCACGGAGTTATGACGTCACAAAGGGAACAGCCTCCGGCCGGATTTTCACAAACTGAGTGCCAACGCCCGAGGTTTCCTGCCGGTGGTACGGACATCGGTTGATGGATCGTGATGAAACTTCCCATGCATGTTGGGGCAAGTATTTGCTATCATATGGTATAAGAAACTTGACCGGGTCAGGTCAGGTCACGGAGCTATGACGTCACAAGAGGAACAGCGTCCGGTACTATTTTTGAAAAGCGCCCGAACCACTATTTTGCTAATTCTTGTCACCTCAATGGGAATATGCAGCAATATTAGCTTCTATAGGGAGCAAATGGACCTCCCAAATCCAAAAATACAATCAGATTTCAAAAATTTAAATTTTGATTTTTCGAATTTCTGCCGCCGACTGTGACCTTGCCGACTTCTGGCGCTCCCAACGCGCCATTTTTAGAGCTAGGGAAACGAAATACATACCAAACGATAGACAATTGGTCAAGGAACACGATAGTGAAGGTTTCAAGTCGATATCTCCCACCGTTTTGCCGCAATCGCCGCGGAAAGTTGAAAAAGTCTATTTTTCCGAAAATTTGACCTTTGACCGGTCAAAAGTAGGTCAAATGTTGACCTAGGACCAAAAAATATACCACCAATCGCGAGATCTCGGCGAGAGCAATCCGTTGGTCTTTTCCGCTAAGCTCTACGACGCTCCGTTTTCAAACGCCAAGGGGGGGGGGGTCGCACCAACATGGTCGCCCCCTGCATGGGCGAAGGTGGCAGATCGCCGTTTACGGGCGAGGGTTAATATTACAAAGTTTGTCAGTATTTCCCTCGGACCGTGATAGGCATCGCTCGATTAGTTATTCCTCTGTTTGGTCGCTGGGATTCGGCCGGTAACCCCCCCCCCCCCCGATTTGTGGGCGGAGTTATGTTTTCACGCCATGTCAGACATGGCTTGGCCGATAACACCCCGGTGGTTTCGACATGGTTTAGTCGATTAATCCCCGGCGTTTATCGACAGGGTTCTGACAATCGATGCTGCACACCATGGTTCCGCCGATAACCCTAGGTGTTGTCGGTTCAATAACTCCCCAGTGTTAGTACTCGTATTGACAGGGTTTGGCCTGTCGCTGCTGCACTGCACACCAGCCGTTTTCACGACGGGCTATCCGGCGAATGCACCTGATTTGACCAAATCTGCACCTAATTTCTTTTACAGCAAATATCTTCATTTTATGAATTTATTTCAGTGCTTTAACCCGCGCCGGGCCGGGGGTGTTTGAACACCCCCTGCGGTTTTTCGCAGATATATCAAAAACGGCGGCGCTCCGCGCCGCCGTTTTGGCACACCTGTTTGTGCATCTTTTCCGCACATGTTGTGAAAATTTCAGACCCAGGTCACCTTAGGTCAGGTCACCAGGTCACGCCAAGTGACCTCACCTCAGAAAAAATAAGAATGCTCGTCATAGCTACACCGACTGAACGATTGCCTTGAAACTTTTAGCGATTGATTAGAGCAACACTATCTATAAAATTTATATCTCGGAATTTTGATATTGGTGACCTAAGGTCAGGTCAATTTTGCGGCCTCTCCATTATAAGTCAATGGGAGAAAATTGAAAAGCGTCTGTTTTGCACGAACGCTATTCTAGACACTCTCAAACATCGAGATATAGGTAAAAGTGACACACTGATGACTGAACCAGAAAATGGCAACTCCGCAACTGTAACCCCCTCGTTATGTCCCCGAGGTCATCTCAGGTCACGAACAGAATCTAACAGCTTTTCGCTAATAACTTCTGATAGAGGCGTGCTAGAGCGCTGAAAACGCCTTAGATGTGTTCGGCTCGACGTTGCGGATCGACTGATATGCAACATGACCTTTTCCGGTCAGGTCATGACCTTGACCTGAGGTCAAATTTTCAAGTTGACCTTTCAAGGTCAACTTATAGTTCATTCGACGCGTCTCGACGAGAGGAACACGATGCTGGCAAAAGTAATGTCATGGCTCTTTTGAGTCAAAAGTTATTGCCGAAAAAAAAAACGTTTTTCGTAAAAACGGCTATTTTTGGAGTTTTTGCCCTCTGGAGGCTAAACTGTTGACCTGAGGTCAAATCTGAGGACATTAACCAGAAAGGTCTTTAAAAGGGCTATCGAATGCGCTTTTCCGCGGCGCTGTAGCTCTATCGGTTCCCGAGATAGCCGTTGGCAGTTTCCAAAATGTTGAAATAGTCAACATTTTACCTTTGGTGACCTCTGGTGACCTGACCTTTGACCTGACCCAAAAAAATGACCGAAGTGTTTTCGTCCTTATTTTGGACGTTCTTTCGATTGCCGCTTACCGCGTGTCGCTACGTGGCCCAGGAGCCGAGTTAGAAGGGGGGTGTCACCCCCCCCCCGGCCCGGCGCGGAATCTCAGGGCACCGGCCCGGCGCGGGTTAATCGATGATGCTCTCTGATAATATGACAAAGCAGGCATATAAGCAATAAGTGCAGCCCTAGCTGATAGCTGCTAAGAGACACACTGAACCTGATTTGCCCAAATCTGCACCTAATCTGCACCAGATGTGCACCAAATGTGTACCAGATGGCCGTCGTGAAAACGGCCACAATGTCGTGTTTAGCAGGGCTGGGCCGTTAACTCCCCGGTGTTGTCGGGTCTGTCATGACTCCCCGGTATGTTACCGACAGGTTTCGGCCAGTCGCTGCCTCACACCGTGTTGTGTCTGGATAACCGGGGAGACGGCAGCAGACTCTGGTGCCGTTCGATCGTTAACTCTCCGGTGTTTTCGGCAGGTTTCGGCCAGTCGCTGCTGCACACCATGTCGTGTCTGGTGAGGTTCGGTCGTTAACTCCCCGGTGTTGTCGGTTCGACAGGTTTTGGCCAGTCGCTGCTGCACACCATGTCGTGTCTGGTGCCGTTCCTTGAGCACTCGCTGATCGACTCGCTGCCCTACCTGGTGGCCTCCAGCCTGGCCACCTTCCCCGTGTCGCTGCACCGGGACATCGTCAACACCCTGTGTCACTACCTGCTGCCGTTCACACTCAGTAAGGAGTCCCTCTGTCAGTGCTGCCGTTCACACTCAGTAAGGAGACTCGCTAACGGTGCTGCCGTTCACACTCAGTAAGGAGCTGACTCTCTGCCACTACCTGCTGCCGTTCACACTCATTAAGGGGACTGTCACTACCTGTTGCCTTTCATACTCAGTATGCAGACTCTGCCACTACCGGCTGCGATATTCCCTTTCATGGGCGATGTTTATTGGCATTAAAATTTTGAAATACGTATTGATTCCATTAGTCGAAGATTGCTAACCATTGCGAAGGCTACCATCAGAAATGGGGAAATTGCTAATTTTCCGCGATACGAATTTTATCCGACGCTGATATTTGAAAAGGGAGCTTTGTAATTATAGCTCCTGAACCAAACTCTGCGATAGTCTCAATAAAACGACTGTGTGCTGCCCTGTCTGAGCACACTGAGGGTAGGTATGTTGTCTGTCGCTCGCAGGCCCCGACGTGGAGAACTACACGTCCAGCTCGGTGACTGCCATCGTTATGGTGGTGTTCCAGTACACTGACCAAACCGGTGAGCGACACACAGGCGGCATCCTACTCTCGATATCGCGATAAATTCAGACTAATTTAATAGTTTTTGCACGACATCTTTATGGGCGTCGTTTTCAATCTTGCTCTCAGTATATGAGCCATAGAACGCCTGTAATTCGATCGGAACTGTCCACAAATGTCTGCTGGTTTCCTCTCCTTCCCGCCCGCCACACCCACAAATGACCCGGCTCTCCTGTGCCAGCTAATCTGTCACGCCGTTGTTTTCACCTCCCCCTGCCCTCCCCCTCCCCTACTCTCTCGCAGCGCTGCACTGTCAGCTGCTGGAGACGGTGATGTCGCGCCGGCGGATGGTGATCCGTGACCTGTTCTGTATCATTGCACACGGCACGGTGAGCGCCCGACTGCCGGCCGCCCACCTGCTCTTCCACTACTGGCCGGCGCTGAACCCCACCTCGGCAGACCGACGCAACAACCTGCTGAAATTCACAGGTCAGCGCAGGGTGCTGGGAAGGGCGTGGAGGCAGCGGGGCATTCATTGGGAATGGGGCAAGGGCGGCACGACACTGCGGGAAAGGCAGCGGAACGCTTGTAAGGAAAGAGGGTTAATTGAGGAGACCCGGTCTGGTCGTCAGTCTAGTCGAAGCATGCGGTAACGGCTCACTCGTACGGCTTAGCTGGGCTGCTAACGTTCCAGTGAGTTGACGATCTGTCGAACTCACATAAGTGCATGGCGCGCTATGAAAATTAAAATGACAGCTCAATGCCGCTTTAACCATGCACCAATTTTGGTGTGCCTGAAAACTAATAGTGCAAAAGCGATTTAGAGCTGCGTTGATTGAATGTCATGATATTTTTCTCCAGGTCTCGATGTCGAGGATATCGGTGAGTCCTATTTGTTAATCATGACTGATTTTCGTGCGTGGGTTCTGCTCTTGAAATGTTTGGGGTTGTTATCTAAGGCTCAGTTAAGCACATTCGAAACATCGAGACTCGAGTGCACAATGCACATGTCGCAGAAAAATGGCGCAGTCGCAGTCACATGTGGACAGTCTGATTGTTTCGCTCTGACTGAATGTATTGCCGGGAATTTTGCATGTGCTTCGCTCCTTTTTGACCGTGTGTATGCGCGTGTTACCACACAGGCTGGGAACCACATCAGTGTGAGAGAGACAACTGTCCCTCAAACGAGAATAACGAGGCGATTCAACTGTGCCTGGACCACAACGTGGCCGTGCTTCAGGGATCTGAGTATCCACCGCCGCTCTACCTCTGCCAGGTGAGGTAGATGAGCTAAATTGTTCCATGGGTACAGTGTGAGCTCTTCCGGGGTTCTTGGTCCTGACTTTGTCAGTCCAGATTACTATCAAGACGAAAAATTGTAACGTAACGTAAACGCTATTTTGTTTGACTGTTGGTGATTGTCTGTGAATTTATCCATCAAAATATTAATGTCTTGTTACGATGGATATTTTTACATTAGGTATCTCATCATGTCCTGTAAGGAAAATGGTACACTGATGGCCAGAAACATGTCCAGGACGGAATTCTATGCTTACGAGTATGTACTGACACTAGTTGGGATGTCACCTGTTACAGCACTGCTCCCAGGACATCCGGGCGTCCAACTCACAGATTAGTATGTTCGAGATCCTGCTGCCCATGCAGCACATGTCCACCACGTGCGAGAATAAGGTAGGTACCGACGGCCGACGCCGGACGCCGTACGGGTCGGGCGGGTCCCGTCCCCGGTCTGTGCCTGATAGGTGATTCTATCTGGGAGTGTCGAGAGCTGAGTTGGACGAAAGAACACTCAATACCCGTCATGCGCGTTACCGTCATGACCGTACGTCCGTCATGACGTCCGTACCGTACGTCATGACGGTCATGCGCGTTACCTAACGTTATGATGTAGCAATACTATGTCGGTATATGTGGTTCAGCGCATCGCTATGCTGATGTAGGTATCTGATCTGTCTGAGCTCATGGTTGTGCGGTCAAACAACGGCAATGAGCTTTCTAGCGGAATACTGTGGCTTCATAAACAGAGCCTCGTAGCTTGTAGTCTGACGCGTCTGACGGTCTGACGCACCAAACCCACCTCTGACCTCACTCTCACCGCTCTCACCCGTCCCCAGAACTGCCGCTCCAGCGACAAGCTGGCCATGTGCACGTGCTTCGCCATCGAGTGTGCCTCCTACAACGGCAACCGGCCGATCCGCTACTGCGCCCAGTGTGACAGCATTCGGCACAACAACCGGCGCGGAGGCGACCACGTGGTGCAGTACCGGATCGGATCGCCGTGGAAAATGGCGCCTGACGTGTCCCGATATATGGTGGAGGCCGTGGTCAGGTAAGGTTTTCCGTTTTATGGTGAATTGATAACTTGTCTTGTTACATCGTGGTCATGCTTGGGCCACGGTCCGGTGTAAATTTAATCTAATGATGGTCAGGATATAATGGTCAGGCCGTGCTGATTCAGGACACGCTCCATGAGCGAACACATTTCCGCTACACTGCTGATAACGTTATTATGACCGGAGAGTCCCTGTCGCCATTCCCCGTCGCCGTTCCCTGTCGCCGGTTCCCCTTCGCCGACGGTATTTCGTCCCCCCTTCGACAGTCTGCTGAAGGAGGCCCAGCCGCTGGCTGACAGCCGCCGCAGCCGGGAGCAGGAGCGTCACACGCGGGCTGGCCTCCTGGACGACGCCCAGCAGGTGAAAACCGCACCAGCCGTGCTGACCACTACACTGTGAGGGCTTCATTCAGGTGCTCATTAAGTGCGCGGCCTCTTGAGTTCTGGGCGACGCTCAACATGGACCTCCCGCGCATACCTGTGTGAAGGGCTCGTCGCCGTCGCTTGCCATGTTTTGAGTAGAGCTTTCTCAAACCAGAGTGGGTCTCTCTTTCTCTGTTCCTCCATCTCTCTTTCCCTGTCTCTGTGGTTCACAGCCATCATGCTCCTCTTCAGAAAAAAAACTGCCTCTCACCCCCGTGTCCCCAGCAGGAGGGTCCCTCACTCGAGGAGCGTCGCTCTCTCTCCCGGTACGGTGTGTGGCTGCTGGTAAACCTCTGCACCCCCGACCGGACCACCTCGGAGCAGACGCTGGCCAGACTGCTGGCCGCGCTCTTCAACTGGTTCGAGGCGACCGCCTACCTCGGTGACGGTACGGCGGGGACTCTGGCGGCTCGCAGATCGGGGGCAGGCATAGCCGGCTAAATTGTTTCACCTTGCTTTTTTAATTGAATTTAACGAAATTCAAGAGTAAAAGTTATCGAGAAAGAACTGTCACCGTCTGAAACTGCAGAGTGCAGACGAGTCTTTTGGCAACATTTCGCTGCATTTGCATTGCTTCTGTGTAGAAGAGTTCAAGAGTATCGTGAGAAAAAAAAACTGGCATTCGTACCAGGGAAGTTATAAAAAAACTGTTTTGTTGCGTGACAGAGGATCGCGATATTAAGAATATGCCGACTCCTTATCTCGTACCTCGGTCTCGCATCTAGTCAGCTGTGAGACTGAGAGCAGACATCGCTCCGGCACATGATTTTTTTCTTCTCACGGACCGTCCGCCCGTCCACAGACCAGACTGGCGGCGCGCTGGAGCTGCTCAAGTCGGAGTACATCCACAGCTGGCTGCAGGCCATCCTGGCCGACCACTTCAAAACGTTCGCCTCGTGTCTGCTGCCGCGGCCGCCAGAGTACGCCAGAGTCGGCGGCCACTGGTGAGTTACTGGGCGGAGTCAAAGCATCCGCCGAAAGAAAATTAGAGCCATGATTGCGTTCAATATATTATAATGTTCCATGCGATGTATTTATTCTGCCCCTATATCATGCTTACCCCAAAGAGGTCCAACGAAATGCACACGGTCTTGTTATTTATGCGTAAGTTGTGAGCTGCACTAGTCAGTTATTGCAGTTGTTGCTTGCTCGAAGTAGCCTCACTCCTGTTAAATGAAATGAGTAGTAACAAGTAGCATTTTTTTTTTCAGACGTTTTTGTATTTCACATTACCACAGGGTACATTTCGATGACACACTAGACACTACCACTCATATGCCGTTAGTGCTTTGGTTTTGCACCAAATATTTCGCCCCATGGAACCTCGAAAAAAAAAAGAAATAGTAGCATTTCCGAACGACAGGTGAGATATGTCCAGAGCTAAATGCTGTGACTCCGTGTCCTGTGATGACTGATGTTTTGCGCTATGTTCCCAGGGACGGTCTGGTATCGAAGACGCAGCACATCCAGGAGGGCTTCCACCGCCTGTTCTGCCTGGTTCCGTACGACATCATCAGCGCTGAGCTGTGGAACCACATCATGCCCAACTGGATGGAGGCCATCCTGCAGGACGTGCCCGAGGACGAGCTGCCAGAACTGAAAATCATACTCAGGTGGGTCGATAACGTCAAAAAGGTCACTATCTATGACAGAAACGCATGAGTGGCTTTTATTAGGAAAGCTCGAAAGGCAGCTGGGGAGAAAAACGAAAAACTATTTGTTATGTTCCACAATTCATGCTGCTAACTCCAGCAATGAACGGTGATAGGAATGATGTATTCTTATGATGATGTTCAGTCATAAGGCAACTATCTTTTAAAAGGATGAAGTGTTCAACGCTTGGTTTTTCTCCCAAAGTTTTCCTTTGCGAGATACAGAATCTGACACTGCTTAGTTCAATTACCACTCCGCAAACACTGACCGTCCGTGTGACTCGTTTTGCAGTAAGCTGCTGGACCCGGACATGTCTCCTCTGGGCTTTGACTCCGATCAGATGTACCAGTTCGTGTCGGTACGGTTCCACTCCACGGCGCCACGGGTCCAGGAGCAGGCCCTCACCTGGCTGCAGGTAAATACAGGAGAACGGACGCCCTTGGTGACTGATCAGACTATGAGGCTATCAGGCGGACCAAGTACAGCGTGATAGTTAGCCAACTTTGGTGTTGTGATGAATGCATCGCGAATTGCAACCTCTTAGCTCCGATCTCATCCCTCCCTCCAACTCTACCCATGCTACCCCCTCCTCTTGGCCACCGATCAGAATCCTCATCCCGCTGAAGATAAGAATATTTCTCAATGTTCAACACCCCCATCCCGCTGCCGCCAGGTTCTCTCGATGGTCAACATCGCCATCCCACTGCCGATTCTGCACAAGATGCTGCGGACCGGCGTCAGGTGCTTGCAGGCCTCCAAGGACGGCGCCGGGTCCAGGAAAGTCAGCTCCATCAGGTCACAGGTCAACAGCGATCTAGGTGAGCTAACGGCGATCTATTACAATCTGCTGGGTGGCTACCCTTTTTAAGCGCGTCCTGTTCTAGAGTGCAAATTATGGCATTGACGCTTTTTTTCCGAGTTATGTTTTGATTTAGGACTCTTTTAAATGTTTCATTGTGCATTGTTTTGCTCTTTCACATTGTGCGCTAGAGTGCGCAACGTGAACCATCCCTCCCCAGACCCAAAGCCCGCTATAATTCTCTCGCCCCCCCCCCCCCTAACCACCCACCTCGCCCGCCGCCCATCTCCCCACACCACTGTGCCCGGCCGCCCGTCTGCTCACGCCGCTGGTATGAGTGTATTCGTTCGGCCGCGTTCCAGGCCCGGTGGTGCAGAGTGAGTCTCGCGCGGCCTCGCCTCTCTCTGGTGAGGACTGTATGCCGGAGGAGGAGGTGCCGGTGAACACGGTGGATACTGCCGACCTCGTGGTGCCTTGCTACCTCCTCATGCTCGATGTGCTCCTCAAACAGGTCAGAGGACGGGCGGGACCGGCGGACTGTGGAGTGTGAACGACGGTCGCTTATGTTACAACGAAATATGGAATATAATTAGGATTAGTTCAGCAATGGAGTATTTTATGTAAAAACATGAAACTTTAATACGATTCATTACGAATTTAAAGCGATCGAAATGCTAAATTATAAAACGTCTCCGTTTTGCGTGGTTAAGTTACTGTCCAGGGGGCGGTACGTATCTTCCGTGTCCGTGTGTGTGGTTAACTGTTCAGCGTATAACGAATATTGTTTGTCAATTTTCAAACAACCTGCGGTTACGATACGTTTGGACAGATGGAGATCCAGGACGTGCCGCAGAGCCAGGGCCTGCTGGGCGGCCAGTCGCAGCAGGCCGTCATCCTGCTGAAGGCCATGCTGTCCTCGCCCACCGAGGGCAAACACACCTGCGACCCGGAGGATACACCCACACTGGAGGTGTGTTGCACACGGGCGCAGGCGCTGAGGGCCGACCGGCTGCGGGCCGTGTTTAAAGGGACAAGGTCAGGCTGTCATTGGACCTGGTATTGTTCACATGCATATCGATACTGTTACTTGCATGCCTATATCGCGACTGCGTAGAGGTAAAAATTTCATCTGATTTTTAGTGCTGGATTATCTCGCGTCGTGCTACTTAGCGTGATCGCAAAATAGTATCGCGCTATCGCGTCAGCGATTTACAGCTACAGTTCAGATAAATATATCGGTACATTGCAGGTGTGTGTTACTTTTCGTCGGCGGTCCTCACCCTCAGACATACCGGGAGAACAGTAAGGACGAGCCGATACGCGTGGAGCAGTGCGACGCCTGCGAGGCGCTCCTGGAGCTCTACCAGCTGGCCGGGGAGCTGCTCGGCTACATCTGTCCTCAGGAGACCGTCAAATCCGTGGAGGTGAGGGAGGGAGGTGGAATAGGAGGTATTCATTGAAGTGGAGATGATATTCAATAGGTGAACACAGCCTAGTTCTAGCACAGCACCCTTTTCTTCCTGGCTGTCGTATGTTGATATAACCGTGATGTTATCGTAGACGTCATGTCAATAACATGATTCGTCGTTTCATCGTTTTCCATCGTCGAAGGTCTTGTGCGGTGATGAATTAGGAATATCACTGTGAAAAGTGGTCGCTACCGTGATTGACTCAAGCAACCGTGCGTGACCCGCGTGACCCCTCTCCGTCTCTGAGACATTCATTCTCATCGAATCTCTATCGTCCCCCAGATCAGTGAGGAGGTGGTGGAGACGGGCCTGGATTCCCCGGCGCCCGTCCACGCTGATGAGCCGCCCGCACACGGACAGGAGAAGCCGGTGGCGCCCGTCCAGGAGCACGTCATCTCGATGGACGGGCTGCAGCAACATGTCATACAGCCGTCACAGGTACCGTCAGTATAAAGAATACATGCTTTGCAGCACCTTACCATCTTTGTGTACTGAACAGCTCATTGGTCTGTCACGCTAGTCGTGTAGTCGAACAGTACTTGCGTCAAAACACGCCATATACCACTCAACACCGTACATACATGCACTCAATACTGCCGGCATGCAGCCGTTACGAACATTCCCGCTGCCGTTTCAACTACCTTGCCCATAGTAGCGCCACTCCCAAATGTATCTTAACTCTTCCTTCTCAGTAAACTCACCTTCAACGCTCTCCTCACAGAGACATTCAAAACCTCGGGATTATTCGCCGTCGCTTCCCCACCGTATGCTAACCCTCCCGTTCCCCCGCGTCTCAGGTCATGATGGCCACAGAGGAAGTGACTGAAATGGACGTGGCCGCCAGCATCCCCGCCGAGCGCGTGGTGCGCGCCGTCGCCAAGGCCGTCACCATATCAGAGGATGACATCGGTGAGAGGCCTGGCTGTGAGGGCGTGATTCGGCGATTTGTTTCATTTCCTATCCCTACCGCCCTTATCTCCCCGTTAAATTCTTTCGTGATGAGTATTCTCACGTAACCCGTCCTTGATCCGTACGTGATGCGGCCGTGACTCGTCCGTGACTAATTCGTGACTCATCCGTTGTCCGTCTCCGTCCACAACCCTTTCATGACCTGACCTGTGACCTCCCGGCCGTGTGTCCGGCAGCGGTTGCCAAGGTAAAGGTGTGCGCCGCCCGGCTGGTGGGCGAAAACGACCAGCCCGTGCTGGTACCCACCATCGAGGAGGGCGACAACTTCTGGACCACCTCGCACGGCCGGTTCCGCTTCACCGTGGACGAGCTACCGCCCGAGCTGCAGCTGCTCTACGGACTCCTGAACGTTAGTGGAATAATCTCCTCGTGCTTTGCTTCCCTGCGAAGTGCGAACTGAAGAATATGGCTGTATAAACGGTATTGTCTACAAATTGTTGGTTAGTCGATGCGTATATTCTTGCATCCCAAAATACTTGTAGCAAAATCATAAGCTATTGAGGGCTGTTCTCAATAAATCGTTCGAGTCGGAGCTTTCGAATTGTATTCACAAAACTTCATCAGCGTGTCGTATACGGGTTCAGGCCTGCAGAGCCCGATACCGATTATGACACGCTGACAAAGTCGCCCTCCAGAGCTACCATATCCAGCCCTCCAGAGCTACCATATTCTGACCCCACCTCTGCGCAGCGTATGAAGGAGAGTGACGACCAGGACGTCACCTCGCACCTGCTGGCCTGTCTGCGACTGCTGGTGCTGCACGCTGACTGTCTGCAGCGGGCGGCCAGGGACCACCGCGGCTTCCACATCTGGTGTCAGGAGAACCTCGTCATCAAACAGTAATTACGAGTCGCTGCGGGGCGATCCACCCGCCGCCTGCGCTCAGTGGTGTATTGATGTGTTCAGTTACAGTTTTGGAATGGCCGATTCTGGAGAAAAAGTTTTAAGTTCCGCGCTGTGTATCATAGGACGTGTCTGCAAACTCTGCTTGATACGCATGTGTTCTCTAAGTCTGCTCTCAGTCTTTGTCCGTCTTTATTGTTAATGTGAATTTTTGTTTCAATGTCTTACATTTTATTTATTTCTGCCTGAATGTTAGATAAACCATTTCTCTTTGCTTTCGTTTAATGTTTGTTGTCATTGTTATTTTCAAAATATCTATGGCGCATGATTTCACGTTTCTCTGACATCTGTTTTCAGTTTGTCTTGTTGCTGCATCTGAGTCTGGTGAGTATCATCTGTCTGTCTGTTTCACTTCTCGATTCATCCCAAATTTCGTGTTATTATTACTTCCTCTATAATTTTCTTTGAATCGTTTTATTCATAGCAGATGATAGTCTGCTTTGTAGAAACGACATGGTTGATGGCGATGTATCATGACGTAACCATGATTGTTCATGGTGCGTTTATATTCCTAATTTTAATCACGATGTTTTTCGCAACAATTACAATAATCAACGACAAATCACACCGTATCCAGCCGTATGACACTCTCGTTCCCTATCCCCCCCCCCCTTTCCCTAGACTGTGGGACCTGCTACTGGCCGAGTACTCCCAGATCCCGGAGATAGCCGTGCCCGTGCTGCTCCATGCCATCACACTGCCCTGCGGTGCAGATGTGTTCTGGCAGATCGTCGGCAACGAGTTCCAGAGCGACGACTGGAAGGTCCGCTTCACCGCCGGTGAGTTAGACAGTGAGACAGTCGCTGAGACAGTCGCTGAGACAGTGAGAGACTTAGTCATTGAGACAGGCTGTCTCGGTGGCTATTTCTTAGTGATACAGGGAGGCGGACGGTGAATGAGGCACTGGTCATCCCTCGGCTGTGCAGTTCGCGCTGGAGTTGTGTTTTGGCTGGATAGCCGGTCGCGGTCGGAACTTGCCGAAAGTCGCTGAGAGTGGGCTGACATAAGCAGTGTTTGGAGATGTGTTGTCTGGTTGTGACGCTTTAATTGCGGTACCGGAACGCTGAAGCCTCCTCTACTTTCCTCTAACCACCCCGCCCCTCCCCCGTCCTCCAGTGGAGCGCGCCACGGTACTGGCCCGGTTTCTGGAGCCGTCCGTGGTACGCCGCAGCGGCCCGGCGCTGCAGCCGTCCCTGGCTCACGTCTTCTCGTACCTTATACACGCCGTGGACGACCTGTCGGCGGCCGTGGCGCAGAAGGTGCAGCTCTACATGGAGACCATCCCCGACGGAGGCATACGGGTGGGTGCTGGGTTGTCAGTTCGAGGGGGAAGGGATGATATATGTATTGTAATGTAACGATGCGGGTAAATACCTATGTCGCGTCAAAGGCAGCATATTGGTTGGGCAGCAAAGTGAGTGGCACTAGAGGAAGGGAAGAACTCTGGCACTGAGTCTGACCAAGAAAACCATTAATGTGTCTGGAGGCGCAGCTAAACACGCTCTGGCGCCCCACAGACGATCTGTATGTGCCTGGAGGCGCAGTTTGACACGGTGATCGTGGACCGGCCGCTGGTGCTGAAGACGGTGCTGCAGCTCTTCAACCTGCTGCCGACGCGCGGCATTCTCTCCTGGGAGTTCTTCAACAGTCGCTTCGACTGTCTGGTGCTGGAGACACAGATACGGCTGGAGCGACACGGGGACATTCCCATCACTAAAGGTGCGTCCGGCCGCCCGCCGCCAGCAGTGACAGTGCCATCTCAGTGTATCTGTCAGTAGCTATCTACCTGCTAAGGAACTGAGATGGGGGATCTATAAATACTTCAGTCACTGCGATTGTTGGATCTTCCAGCTCAATGCGTAGAATGGTTTATATATCAGCCCAGTTGCTGGGATGCAGGTTCACATGCCTTTGCTTCGCGCCTCAATAATTATGCTTAACCTCGAACTATCAGTCACTCTACTAGTTCTCTTTGAAATCATTTCCCCAACAAATTATTTCCTACTATGTCGTGTCGCCATTTATCGGGTCTATTAGACCCACCGATGACGCCAATTCTCTTCTCCAGACCTGAAGGCGGACGGCGCCGCCAGCGAGGCGTACATCCGCCGGCTGACGCGGGCGCACGAGGCGCTCACCGCGGCCGCCTCAGGGCCCGGCCATCGGCGCACGCTCAACTCTAGCATCGGCGCCAAGTGGCCGTATAAGCGGGCCATGTCTGCGCCGGCGGTCGTACCGCGGCCAGATAAAAACGGTACGACGGCACCCAGAGTCGTAGACGGTACGCAGGTGACACGGAGGCGCGGCAGCATGTCGGTGTGGATATGTACTGGTTTGATGTGTTCGGCTGTTGTGGGATCACGAGCTGAATGTGTTGTTTTATTTACGTTGTGAGTAGTGACAGCTGCAGCAAAGGACATGAGTCAAAAGTCTTTAAGTACTTTCCTTCGCATTGTTTTTTTTTGTGGATCAATGAACGGCCACCGAGTATGTGAGCCGTGCACCTCTTCGGGCTGACGTCGAAGGGACCGTTTCGATGCGGTGGGATCATGGATGAGTCTGCCATCAGGACGGCAGCCGATGAAACCACGGTGTTTACCCGACTGGCTTTAGTCCCGATATCTTTACTCTGGATTTTCGCAATGTCTCTCAATGGTCCTTACAAAAGAGCGGAAGGACTCCTTAGCTGGCGGAGATGATTGTCTTTCCTTTACACTTATGCTGTATTTATGCTCTCAGGAATGAGGCTCTGTTCTATGTTGCACGATTGTAAAAAAGGAACTGTCATCGATAACTAACTACGATGACTGCTATAATTGTTGTAAATATGCACCGTGCAATGTATATCTTGCCGTCTGTGTTGTGTTTTGTCTCCATGTGTTGTGTTTTGTACGATTGATATTGTCACGTTTTCTTTATTGAAGTTTATAAGTATGTGATGAGCTTAAGATGAGTCTTAAGATGAGCTTATCTCATATTATCGATTGTAACTTCGATATCCAGGCTGATACGTAGACAAAAAAAAAAACAGCATCTCCTTGTGTTTTTCTCACCTCTTACGTACACGTACACGTAACTTTGCCACAACTTGTCATTTCACCGGCTTTAATGCTATTTCGTTGTATTGCAGACATTTTGAAGCACACCTATCCGCGCCAGGCCTCGGCCCCGGCACTGAACAGAAAGGCGTCTCGTTTCGGCATTTCGCAGATGAATCATGCGCCGGGTGAGTGAGATGAAAGTTATCAAGCTATCTATGTTTCCAGTGCCCCAGGTTTAATTATTTGTTTTATTTCCCTTGTGGGAAATGCACAACTCTTTGAACATTTGAGGGTCGATATACTCAGCGTTTTATCAAAAGAGTGACCATCCAGAATGTTCCAATGTGCAATTGGCACCAATGTGCAATCCAATGTGCCCATCGCCTTCTTTCTTACGCCAAATTGTATTCATGTAAACTGAGAAAGATTCTACCTTATAATGCTTTTTGACGTCCATTTTGTCTCAATTTCCCTCTGTATACGTTTCTGCACGCTCAGAGAACAGCAAGTCGTCGGCGCCGGCGGCAGGCGCCTGGGACTCGCTGCCCCTCGTCTACCGCAACATGGACAGCGACCAGGGGGACAGGGAGACCACCCACCTGCTGGTCGACCTGCTGATGAAGTTCATGGCGCGGCCCGACCAGGTAGGATCGACAGGCGTGTCATTGCGAATCGCCCGCGAATAGGCCGAGCTTCGTGTGCTTTTCAGAACCGCTGGTGTTTCGTGACTACATTAAGTGGTGAATTTGGTCAACTAACCGACCAGGCCATCGCTGGCATAGTTGGGTCATGAGAGAGTCCTAAATGTGGATACCAAATCCTGTTTATACATTGCCCGTTGTTCATCCAACCGCCACCGTCAGCGTCATGTTGACCGTCCTCCCGCTGACGTTTCGGCTTGCTCTGCAGGCGCCACCCGGTGACGACAAGCAGCAGTGCCGCAGCCAACAGATGGCCCTCCGTCACCTGGCCATGAGCCTTGGGTTTAACCAGACCGACAAGACCTTCTTCATGTCGCCGGCGCGGCTTAGGTGAGTCGCCGAACCTGCAGGAGAAGATGGGGAATGCTTGGTGAGTGGTGACGGTAGAATCGGATTTGCTAGTACGCCTTTTGGTGTTCTCAGTTCTTTTACCAAGGCTGTCTAGCTTGTCTCTACGAACACAATGCAGGACGCAGGGCCGCGGAGTTGATGGATCTTCAATGACTCAGAGTCCGACTCCGATTCCGATTCCAGCTTTCAAAAAATCGAACCCCAATCCGAATCTGGGCAAAACTGTCCATTCTGTCCGACTCCGACTCCGACTCCTATTCTTCAGCCCTGGAAGGTCTGCGGAGTCTATGGATTTTCGGTGACTCTGACTCCGACTCCGCAGCCCTAGCTGGACGATCTTGGTCGGAGACACGCCGTACGTGTAAGACCCCACACCGTTCCCCCCGCTGACCGCCACCACATCGCCGCCCACAGATCGAAGGCGTCGTTCAACGCGTTCCTGTCTCAGCTGACGCACGTGCTCGACTACAACTTCCCGCTGGGCGGCGCTCTGGTACCGCTCTGTCTGCCCATCCTTCTGTACGCGGCGGCACCGTCCCGGCAGGCGGCCGTGGCGCCCGGTCGGCCCAGCTACAGCCTCTGGCACCTGGAGGAGCGCCAGAGACACGACTGGCTCGCCGCCCTGCTCACCATTCTGTACAAGGTGCGGCGGACAGTAGGGATGGGGTGCAGACTGCAGATCTCTCCTATTTTAGACTGCATGAGGAGGGCATTGATTTAGGCTATAGTAAATGGATGAAGGTAGGACTGATTTTGCGGGCTATATAAAGAATATGTTGCAAAAGTAGACGATGGTATTAAATAGTGTGGTATTAATTTTACATTCTTGTGGAAGCCAAAATCATGGCTATTTCAGGGCGTTTAAGGTTTTTACACTCTAGTTTAAATCATTTGCCGTGTCGATCAAACTAAAATTTGCCCTCGAGTCCAATTAGCTGTTTTTTATCATAAGGGGGTGTTTGAAACCTGCCAGCCAGCTGGTTTGTTACTATCAGCGCTTGAAACAGAGACATCTGCTGTTGCTGCATGTAACTCGTCTTTTTGTGAGATATTTGTATCGTTGTTGTTTATATCGGCCTGCCTGACTTGTTTGACTTCTTGTGTATGGCGTCGATATTGTATGTTTGTTTTTTACTCTATGTATTGTGACATGGCATTACTCTAAGCATTTATGTGAGCTATTTTCTCTCCAAGACCATTTTCTCTTGCGGTCTGTGCTTGTGCAGCATATTTTTTGCTTTATATCTACCCGTCAATACTGAACGGGAGCAGCTTTGTTTTTGCCGAACGCTGAGCTCTGATTGAAGACGTCAGGTGCTGCAGCCTCCGCGTCCGCTTTTGGTCGCCACGTTGTCGCCCGCCTGTGCTAATTACGTGTCGTTACATGTTGTTTTTCCGCTTGCGACCGCTCCGACTGTCCACGCCGCCACTTCTGTCGCCGCCGTTCTGGAATGCTCCAACCTCGGCTGCTACCGCTACCACGGCTGTGCTGCCGCTGCTGCAATTACTGCTACCCCGACCGCTGCTACTGCTTCAACTGCTACTGCTTCCCCGGCTGCCGCTGGCCTACCTACCCCATCGTCTGCTGCCACCGCACCATCGGACAATGGGTGTACATCGCTTCTGCATCGCACGTCGTCGTCTTGGCTCCGCTTTTCTCTCCGCCGCCACCATAATCGTCGCCTCCGCCATCTTTTCGGCGTTGCGGCACACCAACAGAAGGCTCGCTGCTCGGACTCGTTACAGTACCAGTACGGCGACCCGGGACTCAGCGTGCCTCTGCTGGCGCTCTGTCAGATAGTGCTCAACACGCTACACCTCTGCCGACCGCCGGCTGAGACGCCGGCCGCCGCCGCAGCCGCCGCCGCCCCGCTCAGCAGAATAGGTGGGTACGGTGTGGTTTGAAGATGGCTTTGGATGACGGTGTAGTGATGAATGGTAATGGGATTTCAAAATGTGGTGACCTTAGTTTGGCTCGGAAACTTGTATTTAAACCCAATGGCTATGTAGCGAGGATGCTGAGTTTTTGCTCCACTATTTGCGTATATTTAAAAGCCGTGAATTATGAGTGTGGACTGCCTAGAGCTGCGATGAGCCTGCAAGCTCTATTATATCATCAATGTGATTTTATGTTTCGGCTTCAATTCAATGAGTTAGCTGAACATTTTATCATCGAACTCTCTTGGTGGCTGCATTCTCATCTCCACCGGCCGCATGTGTCCACAGGCTCCCTGCAGCCGAGCGGCGTCGGTGGCTCGCCTCCCGGCCCCGCTGAACAGACCCCACCGGTGACCCCTCGACCGACACTGGCTCCTGAGCTGGTGCCGCAGCCGCCGCCGCCTCCCTCGGCGCCCGGACCACCGTCCTTCAGTGTCGGTGGGGAGGACTGGCGCCGCGGCCGACCCGACCCGACCGCCTGGTAAGCGGGGAGCGTGCTGAGTCAAACGGGTGGGCTGACTATTCCGGTGAGCTGGGAAGAGTGACGAACGGATGGGTTTGCCTTGTGACGGGGAGGGACAGGCAGTTTCGGACTAGTGGGCTACATTCAGAGTAGTGGGGAAAACGTGCCGTTTCGTAGATGATCGGGACTTGACATCCTTATGTCTCAACTATGTCTCAGGAAGTCCACGGCCCATTTCGTATCACCCCATGTTTAACCACTTTCATACATTTTGTAACGAATATTCTCTACAGTCCGCAACATTTTGCCACGATTGCTGGTTTCCGAAGAATAAGCGAGGCTGACATCCGATGATGTTCGTTTTCAGTTACGGCAGCGAAGATAACGACATTGAGCCTGAGCTGGAGGCCATTCCAGAGTCTCCCAAGACGCCCTCGTCACATCAGAGCTTCTGTGTAAGTCCCAACACCATGACTGGCACTACATGAGTCATAATTCCGCCGTATATATAGAATGCCTTTCCTCGACCTGTTTCAGCTCAAGGTATGGTAAGAAGTTACAGACCGTGGTCAGTAGTGTGCGAGATGTCTCCCTGACGCTCGTGTGGGCTGGACGCCCTTTAACCATTTCGTTCGCATTGGAGTTGACCCTCCCGTGACAGTGTTGTCATGTCTGCCGTCCCCAGGACTCCTTGGTCGAGCTGGACGCACTGGAGGAGATGACGCCCGTGCAGGCGGTGCAGCCCGTCCAGGTGGACAGCTGCCCCTTCACCGGACTCGGGGTGGCCGAGATGGCACAGTCGGTCTGTGTCACCAGCGAGGTGAGGTCGTGCTGTGCACTTAATCCGGCCGTCTATCCGTCCGTCTAGCTGGCTGTCACTCTGTCCGTCTGTTTGTACGTCCGAGTTAGTATGCAGTCCGTACGCTGACCCATGTCATACCGCTGTGCCTTTTGATCAGAACCGCTGTGCCGTGTAGCTGATGTATCTGACCCGCGTCCTGTCGCTGCAGTACCGTGCTGCTGACCTCCTACCTTCGGCCTGACTAGTACCGCTGTTCCGTGCAGCTGACGTCTCTGACGCCGGAGGTGGCCACTGTGAACTCGGACCTAGTCACCGCTTCTGTGGCCCCCTCAGAGATGGCCACGGTGGTTCAGCCGACTGAGGTGGTCTGTCACCAGGCACAGACGGCGGATTTCAGGTAAGCAACTCGCTGCGGCTCAGATTGAACCTTGACCAATTGAACAGTACTGACCGTGGTGGTTATTCAATAGTCGCCTCGCCACAGCCGTCTGTGATATATGCGCTCCTTGCATGGTGCTTAAATGCAATTATGGGATGCTGTGTTCCCGTCTTTTTTCTTATTTTGTTATGGCCTGTATTCCTATTTATCTTTGTCGTTCTCCCAGACTTCCCCATCGCCTAGTCTTTCCTTATTCCAATAGTGCTAACAGTGCTCGGCTTTCTGATGCGTTGGACTGACCTCTGCTCTGTGCCTAACAGTGTGATGGAGGAGACTGCCGAGCTGGAGATGTTTCAGCCGACTGTGGTGTCCGCTGCGACCCATCCGCCGGCCACCGCGTGTCATCCACCTGTCGCCGCGTCCCATCCGCCGGCAGCCACCGCCGCCGCTACCACCGCGGGCAGACAGGCCGCGCCGCCGTTCCTCCACAGTGAGTGAGATAGGCAGGACATATTGTGTGGTGGGAAATGCACTGCCCCGTACTGTGTCACGTCTATAGAGAATATTGAATGTTAAACTAACTAAGTCATGACAATACTTTGTATGGTGGTATTGTTTTAGGTGTAGGGTTTAAAGTTTTAGTATCACTTTGTGCAAGTTTCATGGCACCACGCATCGTCCCTCTGACTTTCTTATAGGTTTCATCCCATCACGCGCCCTCCTCCTTCCTCCCCCAGGCGCCTCCCTGGACGTGCAGCCGTCGCCGGCCGAGTCGTGGCAGCCTCCTCGCGCTCAGAGTCTGGCCGTGCCTCGCGCCACCGACCAGCCGGCAGTCAACGGGACAGCCTCCGGGAACGAGCGTTCGCTACTGGAGCGGCTCTCGCTGGTCTTCTCCAAACAGGAGAGCCACGGTAGGTGGGGGAGACTAACAGGAGAGCCACGGTATGTGGGAAGGAGACTGGGAGACTCACTTCACACTTCTAGGATCAGAGTCTCGGTACTTAGGGTGTTCCGTGATCTTGACCTGACACCGTTCTGTACTTCTATCCTCAGGATACTGAAATCCTTCTCCTCCACTCCGCCACCCCCTCCGGGCTGGACAGGCTCCTTTATCTCATGGGGTGGCTATCAAAGCATACAAAAGCGCAGCGTACAATCCTCAAAACATACAAAATCGCAACATACAACGCGCAAAACCTACAAAACAGGCCAGGTAGGGGACAGCCCAAACGTACAAAAGCGCAGCGTACAAAATCCCAACGTACAAAAGTTTACCGTCCAATGGGTAAAGCGTACAATGGCAAATCAAACAATGATCAGAACGTACAAAATTGGAACGTACAATTGCAGATCAAACAAACGCGTATCATACAAAATTGCAACCTACAAAACGAGATGATCGTATCATACAAAATCGCATCGTCTAAAATCGGAAGGTACAAAATGCCTCTGGTTGACGCCGGATGAATTGATATGTAACAAGTCAGCCACCAGATGGGGTAATGGTGCTGTGGCAGTGGTTTTTTTGGAAGCCACCAGGAAATAGAGTGGAATGCCACTAAGTCCCTTAGAAACACGATACCTCTGGACGCTGCACCGGCCGGCTATCGACGCTGCGGGCGGTCGGAGGGTGCCGAGGGGAATGGTTCCGAGCAAGCGGGAACACGATACCTCTGAACGCTGCACCGGCCGACTATAGACGCTGCGGGTGCCGCGTGGACCGGTGCCGAGCAGGCGACGAGGAGAAGCGGGCATCAAGACCGTGAGAAATCTATTATATTGGCGGGTGTGCATATGTAGGTAAATGAGGCAAACGTGCATAGGTATGTAACACCTTCATCCTTGGTCACATAGCCCTACCCACGCACTGCGGGGGGGGGGGGGACTGTTTGAACAACCCCTCCGGTTTCTCGCGAATATCTAAAAAAACGGCGGCTCAGAGTGCCGCCGTGTTTTGCACATCTTAACCCGTGCCCCGCTGGGGGGGGGGGCAGAATCTGCCCCCCTCCCGTTTCTCGCCAATAACTTCTAAACGCGTTATGCCAGCTACGTCAAACTTTCAGTACCTTATCATAAATCAATTTGACACGTTCCCTGAAAATTTGAGCAAAATCCGTCGGAAAATTTTTGGGAAATTGACGTTTTAGTGACGTCATGTTCGCCATTTTCGCCTCAAAAACGGCAAAATTTCAAACGCCGCTAACATCTTCATTTTTGAACGAATCAAGACGTAACAAAAAACGTTATACGTGATTCTACTTTGTCTATCAAATGGCTATCTCGGTTTTTTGAAAATTTTGGATTTGGGCCCAATTTTTTTTCTAAAAAAACTGACTTTTTGGGAAAATAGTTATAAAATCCAAAATTTTGAGTGTATCGAAAAAACCGGAATATATGTCAGAGAAGTGGTCTATGTGCACCTACATACCAATATTTAGAAGAATCGGTTCAAAAATGTGGGAGTAATTCAAAATTTTATGACGTCACGACACACAAAAAATTTGAAAAATGATTTTTTTGGAAGTTCTAGACCTCGTACGGAAACAAAAATAGCACCATTCGACTCGCCGTGAAAAACTGCATCAGATAGACACCTTTTTAGGTCTTAACAACCAACTTCAAAATTTGACCTCACTTGACCTGACCTTGACCTGACCTCGACCTGAAATTCACCCAGAGGTGGTTCATATCACTTATTGAGTGTGCCTATTGAATTCTATGAGTAAAATAACCCATAAAACATGTGTCGCACATGCCCTTTTCTATATTTTGTTTTTGGTGACCTGACCTGACCTGACCTGACCTTGACCTTGACCTTTGAATGACATTGTATGCAACGAATATTGTCTTGGTAGTCTAAGAACACGTTTTGGGCAATCAGTCTCAGTCCATTCTTCGGCAACTACGGTGCAAGGCCGATACTGTAGAAACTTGCATTTTGTACCCTTGACCTGACCTTGACCTGACCTCTGACCTACTTAAGCAAAAAAATTTGGGCTCTTAAGATCCGCCTTGTTGAGAGCTTTTGATTGCCGTTTTCCCCGTCTTTCTACGACCATCGGTTCGGAAGTTAGACAGGGGGGCAGAATCTGCCCCCCCCCCCCCAAGCAGGGCGCGTATGGCTGAATAGCCCAGCGGGGCGCGGGTTATCATACATCTTTTCTACACATTCTGTGAAAACTTCAGACCAAAGTCATCCAAGGTCAGGTCACCATATCACGTCAAGTGACCTTACTACATGAAAAGTTTCAATGCCTGTCACAGCTACACCGAGTGACTGATCACTTTGAAACTTTGAGCAACTGATAAAACAACAGTATACACAATACACATAATGTATACAATAATTATAATAATGATACACAAAATGTATCTCTCGGAATTTCGATATCGGTGACCTAAGGTCAGTTCAATTTTGCGACCTCTCCATTATAAGTTAATGGGAGAAAATTGAAAGGCGCCTCTTTTGGCCGAACGTCATTCTAATCACTTTCAAATATCGAATTACAAGTAGACATGACAAACTGAACCGGAAAATGGTACCCGTGACCCCTCTTTATGTCCCTGAGGTCATCTCAGGTCACGAATGGTATCCTACAGTTTTTCGCAAATAACTTTTGACAGAGACATGCTAGAGCGATGAAAAAACCTTATATGTATGTGTTTGGCTCGACAATACGGATCGACTGATGCAGCATGACCTTTTCTGGTCAGGTCATGACATTGACCTGAGGTCATGACCTTGTCATGAGGTCATGACCTTGACCTAAAGTAAATTTTTCAAGTTGAACTTTTGAGGTCAACTTATAGTTCTTTCGATGCGTCGCCTTGGCGAGAGGAACACGATGCTGCTGAAAAAAGCTCGTGCATGTTTTGAGTCAAAAGGTATTGCAGAAAAACAGTTCCCGCAAAAACCATCTACTTATTCTGGCAGTTTTTGGCCCCTGCACGCTAAACCGCTCCTAATCTATGCGCCGGTTTGTCGAAATTATCGAAGTTTGACCTGGAAAGTGGCGAAATTTTACCTTTGGTGACCTCTGTTGACCTGACCTTTGAGCTGACCTAAAATGTGGCCGATATAATTTCTTCATTACTTCTGCCGCTCTTTCGAACGCCGTCTACGGCGTGTCGCTACGTGGCCCAGGAGCCGAGTGAGAAGGGGGGGGGTGTTCCAACACCCCCTCCCCCCAGTGCAGGTGGAGCCGAGCACCGGCCCGGCGCCGGTTAGTCAATCGCATGGCGTTTAACATAACGGTACATCCTCGGTGTTTAACCCGCGCCCTGCTGGGGGGGGGGGGGTGTTTGAACACACCACACCCCCCTGTGTTTTTTCACAAATATCTCAAAAACGGCGGCGCGGAGCGCCGCCGTTTTTGGCACACCTTATAATACATTTTGTACATACTATTGCTCTTAGCAATCATTGAAACTTTCGATGTAGCTTGGTCACTTGGTGTAGCTATGGCGGACATTGAAACTTTGCATGAGGTGAGATCACTTCAAGTGACCTGGTGACCTGACTTTAAATGACCTTGGTCTGAAATTTTTAAAACATGTGTAGAATTGATGTATTATAAGGTGTGCCAAAAACGGCGGCGCTCCGCGCTGTAAACTGTACCTACTGAGATAAACTCTGCATATCTCAGAGTTTTGATATCGATGACCAAAGGTCAGGTCAATTTTGCGACCTCCCCATTATAAGTCAATGGAAGAAAATTGAAAGGCGCCTCTTTTGGACCAAAGCCATTATAAACACTCCCAAACACTGAATTACAAGAAACTAAGACACATTGAACATGAAAATAGTATCCGAGACCCCTGTTTATGCCCCTGAGGTCATCTCAGGTCACGAATAGTATCTAACAGTTTTTCGCGAATACCTTTTGATAGAGGCATGCTAGAGCGATGAAAACGCTTTGGATGTGTTCAGCTCGACGATACGGATCGACTGATATGCAACATGACCCTTTCCGGTCAGGTCATGTTGGTAAAAGTAAGCTCGTGCAAGGCTTCAGTCAAAAGTTATTGCAGAAACACTTTCCAAAAAAATCGTTTATTTTGGCAGTTTTTGCCCCCTGCAGGCAAAACCGTTGGCGCTAGGTCAAATCTGAGAGAATTATTCAGAAAGGGCGTTAATAGGGCTATCGAAGTCGCTTTTCCGCGGCGCTGTAGCTATATCGGTTCCCGAGTTATGCGTTGGCTTCTTGGAAACTGTCGACATTTGACCTGAAAATCGGCGAAATTTTGCCTTTGACCACTGGTGAGTGGTGACCTGACCTTAAGCCTAACCAAAAAAGTGACCGAAGTGATTTCGTTATTATTTTTGGCGCTCTTTCGAACGCCGCCTTCCGCGAATCGCTACGTGGCCCAGGAGTCGAGTTAGAAGTGGGTGTTCAACACCCCCCCCCCCCCCGCAGGGCGTGGAAATCCAGGACCCCCAGCGGGGCGCGGGTTAAAGCACATTTGGAAAATATAAATATCTTCAATACAATGTACGCTAACCAGTTTTCTCAGTAATTCAGCTAGCAAATATCGTGCTGTGTTGTTTACATCGAGGGTCGAACTTAACCCACGCCGTGCTGGTGGCCTAAGTTTTCCGTGTCGTGCTGGGGGGAGGCGTTTTCACGTCCCCGTCTAACTCGGCTCCTGGGTCAAAGGTCACGTCACCAGAGGTCATCAAAGGTAAAATGTTGCCTATTTCAACATTTTCCCAAACACTCAACGCATAACTCGGGAACCAATAGAGCTACAGCGCCACAGAAAGCGCATTCAACAGCTCTTTCAAAGGCCTTTCCGAGTGTTGTTGTTAGATTTGACCTCAGGTCAAATATAAATCGTGACGTTAGTAACAACGCACGATACGTTAGACGCTGGCAAAACACCAATACGGGCGAGGGTTAAATCATATGTG